AAAATGTAGACACAAATCTTGCTCACACAGCAACCTGGCAGAGCTCTGAGGTGAGGCCTCCCAGCTGAGCATGGCGCTGTGGCTCTTGTGCGGCCCCTACTGGGACAGCAGTGAAGGAGTACTTTCCATAGCGTGAATCCACAGGAGAAAGAGGAGGTGGGCACACAGCCACAGAACACAGGGGGCTGGAATCAGGTGCGGCCGACCCAGGAAGGCCGAGGCTGAAGGCAGCACTGGGGACTGGCGAGCAGCCCGCCTATGCCCCACAAAAGCTCCGTGGCATGGCCTGAGTATCTCCATGATCTCCATGAGCAGCTGTAGATGCAGGCTGATAACAGCAGGTGTGCTTGAAAATGTGTTTCAGTGGCAACTCAGTATTATTTCATGTATTTATTCTGAGATAGAATCTCACTTTGTCACCCAGGCGGGAGTGCAGTGGCACAGTCACTGCTCACTGCAACCTGCAGCTCCCAGGCTCAAGCGATTCTCCCACCTCACCCTTCCAAGTAGCTGGGACTACAGGCATGTGCCACCAAGCCCGGCCACTTTTTGTACTTTTTGTAGAAACAGGTTTTGCTATATTGCCCAGGCTGGTCTTTAACCCCTGGGTTCAAGTGATCCCCTTGGTTCAGCCCCACAAAGTGTGGGAATCACAGGCGTCAGCCACCACGAGAGGTACGGTATTACTATTAACAGCCAAGATTCAGTAACAACCAGCTTGCCCATCAGTGAGGAGTGGATAAACAAAATACAGCACATCATCAGTGGAGTATTACTCAGCCATGAAAAGGAGTGAAGCCTGAGGCATGCTCCAAGTTGGAAGCACCTTGGATACCTTACACTAAGTGACAGTCACAAAAGAGCACATGCTATATGGCCCCAATTATATGAAATGCTCAGGACAGGCAAATCTGCAGAGATGGAAGGTAGATGAGTGGCAGCCTGAGGCTGGGGGAGTTGGAAGTTGGGGCTGACAGCTAAAGGGCACCAGGTGTCTTTTTGGGGTATGAAAAATGTTCTGGCCAGGGGTCGTGGTTCACACCTGTAATCCCAGCACTTTGGCAGGCCAAGATCCTGTCTCTTGGACTGCTTAAGCCCAGGAGTTCGAGACCAGCCTGGGCAACAGGGCAAAACCCTGTCTCCACAAAATATACAAAAGAATTAGCTGTGTGCGGTGGCTCATGTCTGTAATCCCAGTACTCTGGGAGGCCCAGGCAGGTAGATTTCTTTAGTTCAGGAGTTCAAGACCTGCCTGGGCAATGTGGCAAGACCCTATCTCTACTAAAAATACAAAAAAAAAAAAAAAAAGCCGTGCGTAGCAGCGCACACCTGTAAAGCCGTGCGTAGTGGTGCACACCTGTAAAGCCGTGCATAGTGGTGCACACCTGTAAAGCCGTGCGTAGTGGTGCACACCTGTGGCCCCCCGGCTACTCGGGAAGGTGAAGTATAAGGATCACTCAAGCCTGGGAGGCGGAGGTTGCAGTGAGCTGAGATCTTGCTACCGTATTCCAGCCTAGGTGACAGAACGAGACACTCTCTCAAAAACAAAAACAAACTAAAAAAGCCAGGTGTGGTGGTGTGCATTTGTAGTCCCAGCTACTTGGGAGGCTGAGGTGGGAGGATCACCTGAGTCCAGGGGGGCTGAGGCTGCAGTGAGTCATGATTGTGCCACAAAAGATAATTATTCTAAAATTAATTGTAGTGATTAATTTTACACAGTGCTGTGAATATACTAAAAACTACAGAATTGCATACTTTGAGCAATTTGAACAGTATGTGACTATTTTTTCGAGACGGGGTCTTGCTCCGTCGCCCAGGCTGGAGTGCAGTGGCGCGACCTCAGCTCACTGCAACCTCTGCCTCCCAGGTTCAAGCGACTCTCCTGCCTCAGCCTCCCGAGTAGCCGGGATTACAGGTGCCCGCCACCACGCCCGGCTACTTTTTTGTATTCTTAGTAGAGACAGGGTTTCATCATGTTGGCCAGCCTGGTCTCGAATTCCTGACCTCAGGTGATCCACCCACCTCAGCCTCCCAAAGTACTGGGATTACGGCGTGAGCCACCACGCCTGGCCCTGCATTATAGCTTTAAAAAGCTGTTAAATATACATGAGACATGCTAAGTGTCAGATGGCAAATAAACCATAATGTTTGCCAAATCCTTTAAAAAAAAGACAGCCCACAGATAAACAGGCAAAGACTTTGAACATCAAGACTTTGAACAAGAAGCACAAATGGCCAGCAAGCACGTGGAACGAGCCCTCTCGCTTCTAAGTTGGTTCAAAACCTAAGTGAGATTTCATCTTTTATTTGTCAGGTTTGAAAGGACCAAAATTCTGAAAAGATTCCAAGTTGTTAAGGTGTGGGGACCCAGCTGCTCTCATGCAAGGGATAGTGGGAGGATAATCACAAAGAAACACAATCGAACGGTGTCTATCAAATTTAAAATGTACCTGTCTGTTGGTCCAGCAATTTAGCTGGGAAAAATTTATCAACACACATGGATGTATCTGCGGATGTGGACAACTGAAATGTAAAAGGATGTTTGTGACAAGCAACAAACCTGGAAGCAACGGAACCGCCCAGCAGCTGAGGAGTGGGCAATGTCAGGGAACGTCCACCCCAGGGACTGACCGAGAAGGGAAAAGAGTGAGACGGAGGAGGCAGGCCTGTGAGGCAAAGTGGCAAATACGCACTACCTCACGAAGAGGAGGCGGCCGACTCCACAGCCTCTGCAAACACAAGACAGGAGGGCGCTGGGGCGGGGTGGGGGTCGCGCGGGGCTCACCTGTTCCACGTGGGGCTCCTTGGCGAAGGAGATCCTGGCGATGGAGTGGGATGCGATGCACAGCTCCTGCCCGTTCACCTCACCCTCCTCCACCTCCACCACACCTGCAAGGGAAGGGCGGTCAGCTCACCCAGCAGCTGCTCGGCTCCCAGCGAGGCAGCCTTGGCTCTCCTCGGCTGCAAGCCAGGACTCCACGGGAGACCCCAGCTCTGCAGCCGCGGCGGCAACGGCATTTCTCCCCCTCCCACTTCACCCTGTAGACACAGAGGGAAAGCCACAGCTCTCCTCACAGCATAGGCAGGTGCTCTACGGAAGACCACCCTCTCCAGAGGTGCCCTGGGCCCCAGCCCTCCCACCTCCACCTATCAAACAGGCTGGCAGAACCCCCCCAGCACATGCAGTGGCAGGAGTGGAAGGTGGGGATGGACGTCCAGGAAGGAACACTCATCTAGAGACATGCAGGCTGTTTTTCTTTTTTGAGATGAAGCCTCACTCTGTTGCCCAGGCTGGAGTGCAGGGGCACTATCTTGGCTCACTGCAACCTGCCTCCCAGGTTCAAGCGATTCTCCTGCCTCAGCCTCCCGAGTAGCTGGGATTACAGGCGCCCACCACCATGTGCGGCTAATTTTTGTATTTTTAGTAGAGATGGGGTTTCACCATGTTGGCCAGGCTGGTGTTGAAGTCCAGATCTCAAGTGATCCTCCTGCCTTGGCCTCCCAAAGTGCTGGGATTACAGGCGTGAGCCACTATGCCCAGCCTGTTTTCAGTGATTCCTAATGAACACACATAGCTGATGGCCATTTCTGCAGATGCTGCGCGGGACAAACAGGCCTCCCGGTCGGGTCTGCAAGTACACAACCTGTGTGCAGGAGGCCCCCACAGCTACAGAGATGGCCCCGCAGGCTCCCACGACTGCTCTCAACACTCAGGGTCAGCCCCTGGTCCCCAGCAGCACATGCCCCTGCTTAGGATGCAGGCAGTGGCCTCCCATGGCCAGCACCCCAACCCCGCAGGCCGGGCCTCACCTGTGTTCTGGGCGCTGACGAAGGCCACCTTGTTGGTGTCGGGCTTGAGGCGGATGAAGCCACACTCTCTGTGCATTGGCTTGCGTGTGTCCGGGTGGAAGGAGTTGAACCTGGACGGGAAGTCGGGGATGGGAAGCCCGGCACTGGCCTCCGAGATGGCGTGGGCTCGTGGTCGCCATGCCTGCACGCCTGCCTGCCCCTTTCACCACCTTGCTCGTTTTGGCTGTGCCTGTCTTCCCTGCTGACTCCTCAAGACGGAACTGGTTCTTAATCACCACAGGGCATATCCTCGCCCTAGGCCCATTAGCCCAGGCTTCTCAGTGTCAGCCCTAAGCATTCCCCACAGCAAACCTCACCTTAACACAACCTTTCTCTTTTGAGCTATGTTCTTGTGTAAGAATCTAATCAATTCCTATCGTAAGAAACAGAACAGGTGCTGAGTCACGTTACGGTTTCTTATCCCCCTTCATCATTAGTGCAAATTCTCGACAGTAAAAGACAGGCACCTACATCTTGAACTGAGGGTAAAAACCCACGGCTATTATTAAAAACAACTTGCTGACGTGGTGACTCAGGTCTGTAATCTTGGCACTTCCCGAGGCCCAGTCAGGTAGATCTTTTGAGCCCAGGAATTCGAGACGGCTAGGCAACACAGACCCTGTTTCTACAAATAAAAACACCAACCAACCAAACAAAACGCCTCATGTATGATTTCACCAACCCTGTGAGTTGCTACAGGGGATCCTGCTGTCTGATTCTTAGAGATACACTTTTTTTTGCTCTGTCGCCCTGGCTGCGGTGCAATGGCGTGGTCTGAAGCTCACTGCAACCGCCACTTACTGGGGTCACGTGATTCTCCTGCCTCAGCCTCCCGAGCAGCTGGGATTACAGGCATGCACCACCACGCTGGGCTAATTTTTGTATTTTTGTACTCTTTTAGTAGAGACACAATTTTACCACATCAGCCAGCCCGGTCTCGAACTCCTGACTTCTAGTGATCCGCCTGCCTCAGCCTCCCAATGTGCTGGGATTACAGGTGTGAGCCACCACACCCAGCCACGATAAACTAATTATTAAAAAAAAATTTTTTTTTTTAGATGGAGTCTCCCTCTGTTGCTCAGGCTGGAGTGTAACCAGGCAAAAACTTTGAACATCAAGACTTTGAACAAGAAGCACAAATGGCCAGTAAGCACATGGAATGAGCCCTCTTGCTTCTAAATTGGTTCAAAACATGAGTGAGATTTCATCTTTTATTTCTCAGGTTTGAAAGGACTAAAATTCTGAAAAGATTCCAAGTTGTTAAGGTATGGGGACCATAACACCTTAACAGGTGTGATCTCAGCTCACTGCAACCTCCACCTCCTGAGTTCAAGCGATTCTCCTGCCTCAGCCTTCTGAGTAGCTGGGATTACCATGCCTGGCTAATTAAAAATTATTTTTTTTAAAGACAGGGTCTCACTGTGTTGCCCAGGCTGGTCTTGAACTCCTGGGCTCAAGTGACCCACCCACCACGGCCTCCCAAACTGCTGGGATTACAGGCATGAGCCGCCATGCCTGGCCAAGATAAACCCCTGCTGGGCAGTGATGCAGCTACACCTTATAAAATGGCACATGCGAGCAACCCCGGCGAAGAAATACATTCATACCATATTCTAGGGCACGCACACAAACACACATACCATCACATTTACTGAAACATGTTTTCTACTCTGGTTCATTTTTCTTTGAATGCTGGTCACAAAATTAACTTTCTGACCTTCTAGTGGGTCACAATCTGTAGTTTAAAAAGACTTCTTTATATTGTTCTGGGTTATTTTTTATTATCCAGAATTCTCACCTTCTGGTTTATGTGCAGATATATTACTCTGACCTCATCCATTCAATCAAGAATAATATAAAAAAGTATGAAATATTTTTAAAAACAATGAGATCTTCTAAAAGGCGACAGAGGGTCTCAGAGCTGCAGGGTCCGAGAGCCAGATACCCAGCCCAGTTCTGAAACTGCCAGGCGTTATACAATAGTACCAAGTTGGTTTAGTAAGATGCTTAACACACCATTGTGTAACAGAGACTGGGGAAGGAGGAGTTTGCTTCTTATTTTATACTTTGTCTAAACTTAAAAAAAAAAAAACCTGTGTATTATTTGTATAATTAAAAAATACAGATACTTCAATCATTCCTCATCACTGGTGGCTCTCCTGTACCTCAGAGGCCTACACTGCTATCTGCTTAAAAGCAGGCAATTTCTCCAACTGCGGGGTGGAGGTGGTGGGAAGGGGGCTAGAATACCTCAAGGGACTTTTGCTTTATTATATGGTAAGAATGTGAGAACCATATGCTAACAGCTTCCTTGTAACCTGAAATAGCTCAGGGTTAAGTATAAAATACAGCTGTGCACTATTATTTTCAGTAACACCGAGTGACTAATTTTTTCTTTTCTTTTTTTTTGAGACAGGGTCTAACTGTCACCCAGGCTGGAGTACAGTGGTATGATCACAGCTCACTGTAGCCGTGGCCCTCCCTGGGTTCAAGGAATCCTCCCACCTCAGCTTTTCGAGTAGCTGGGACTACAGGCATCTATCGCCATGCCTGGCTAATTACTTACTTATTTTTTAGTAGAGACAAGGTCTCACTATATTGCCCAGGCTGGCCTTAAACTCCTGAGCTCCAGCAATCCTCCTGACTTGGCCTCCGAAGTGCTGGGATAACAGGTGTGAGCTACTGCACTGGCCAGGGTGATTGATCTTGATACATAAATTAAGTACATGCATTTGTTTTTATGTCTGGACTAACAAGCCTGTAATTTGGTGGTCAGCGTAATATCTCAAACAATAGAACAGATCTAGCAAGTACCATTTTTACCAACTGTGTGCCTCAGCTGCACACTCAGGCAAGAGGACACCCTTCTGAAATAGATGGACAAGTTCCTTTTACACCTTCCCGCCTGGCCCTTGTCTGTCTTTGATCAGTGTGGAATTATTTTCAGAGACCTGGGCAGCCCACGAGTTAAGCAGAGTGGGTGGCGGAGACAACTTACGAGAAGTTCAGCATGGGCTGGCCCACGTGCGAGATGTGCACCTCCTCCAGGTACTGGAAGGGCTGCAGCGTGGGGTAGGTCCCAGCTCCGGGAGGGTCAGACAGCCAGGTGCCCAGCATCCAGGACAACGGCTCCACCACCGGGTTCATCTTGGGGGGCTCTGAGGATAAAAGAACGAGACCATCAGCGGCCTCCCTCCAACAATGCCTTTCTGAGCTTGAAGCAGAATGCCCCTTCCGTATCGCACTTGCCTCTGGCAGCCACAGCTAATCCCGGAGGAACCTGTCAAGAGGGGGAGAAAATGGACAAGCAGCTGGCAAACGTCATATTGCGAGATCCAGCTTCAGAAGCCTCTGTAGTTCCTGCAGAAACACGGGAACCAAGAGGGGGCCTGGCAGGGTGCAAGCAAAGCCAAAGGCCTCATGCCCCACGGCAAGGCAGAAAACAGCTTGCGTGGGAGGCAGGATGCCCTGGCCTGAGGGATATGGAGGAGACAAAGAGCAGGAGAGAGAAAATGAAAACAAGGTGGAGGGTCTCAGAGCAGGCAGAGTGTGAGGGGCCAGGGGTAGGCAGGGCCTCAACGGGAACTGCTGACCCCGCTTGCTGAGAGGGGGCAGGGCTTCACAGTGGCCAGGAGGTCACCTGTCGGGGGCATTCAGCCTCTCATCCCACTAAGTGTGAGGGATGACGCCACAGGCTTGGAACTCAGAGGTGGGGGTGCAGTGACAGGAAAGCAGGGAGGGGGTTTGGGTTGGCTGTTGTGCTGGCAACCCCAAAGGGACCACTGCTTCCTGCGCCGCTCAGCAAGGACTGGGTGCTTCTGAGCAGCTTTTCAGGATTTGCTCATGTGACCCTTGCCCTGGCCAGATGCGCCTGCCCTGCTCTTACCCACTTTCTAAGGGACACCTGTGCAGGGACCACAGGAAAGCCCCACCATGTGCTACCCACCAAGGGCACTAGAAGAGGAGGGCTGTCCCCAGAGGCAGTCCCAAAGACCTGCTTCCCAAGCCTGCCTTTCCCTCCGGTCTAAGGGCTTCGATCAATGTAATGGACACTGACACCCACGAGAAGCAGCAGGGAGAGACGCAGCCAGCTGCTCTGTGGCCACACAAGCCTCATCTATGGAGCCCAAAGATGCCAAGCACAGAGACCAGCCACACACAGGACTGACCCTCGGCCTCTCCTCCAGGCCCACACAATCAGAAGATGGACTGATGGGGACAGGAGTTCTTGGAACCAGCTCAGCTTCTGAAATTACACAACCTTGGACTATAAGTTCCAAGTAGTCTGGGAAAAGAATATTGGGAAAGGAAAACAAAGGCTCTGGGAGTGGAGAAGACCACATCTAAGAAAGCTGGGAACCGAGGAGGCCGTACAGGTGGCCTGGTCCAGTGGCTGCGCCCTGCGGCCCAGATGAGAACCATGGCTGGAGAGCGGGAATGAGCACTCCTGCCTGCTGGCTGCACAGGACAAACGTGCGTGGCCTGAAGCTGGAGTGTGGTAGAAAGTCTGTTCCTTTTCCAGACTGGCCTGCGGTCTTTCAGTATTTCTTTAAAAAAAGAAAAAAAAATTTTTTTGTTTTTAATTTTTTTTGAGACAGAGTCTTGCTCTGTCACCCAGGCTGCAGTGCAGCGTCACGGTCTCAGCTCACTGCAGCCTCCACCTCCCGGGTTCAAGCGATTCTCCTGCCTCAGGCTCCTGAGTAGCTAGGATTACCATGCCTGGCTAATTTTTGTATTTTTAGTAGAGACGAGGTTTCACCATGTTGGCCAGGATGGTCTCAATCTCCTGACCTTGTGATCCACCTGTCTCAGTCTCCCAAAGTGCTGGGGTTACAGGCGTGAGCTACCACACATGGCCAAAAAATTTTTATCAGTATTTCCTTTTTAAACTCCCTGTAAAAAGTGGGAAGGTGAGGATGGGAATATTTGGACTTTGTTAAAATTTCCTAATTGACAATAAGAGAATTTTTAAATCAGGATTTTTTGGTGCAATCTTTCACGGAGATAAGGAAGATAAGCTTCAGAATCCAATGAGTGGTCTCTAGAACTAGGCTTGTGATCCATCACAGCTGACCATCATTCTTCATCCAACACGCTGGACGCTCTTCTAGGAAGAAGCTAATGGGACAGTCACACATCCCTGCGGAGAATATATCCCAGTGAAGGCAGATGGACAACACACAAGAAATGAGTGAGTGTGCAGAATTCAGCGTGTGTTAGGAGACGGGCCAGAAAGGTGAGTGTGCAGAATTCAGCGTGCATTGGGAGACGGGCCAGAAAGGTGAGTGTGCAGAATTCAGCGTGC